AGGATGGGTATTAACTTAACGTGAATGAGGAAGTACTTCAGGCTTTATTATCTCAATATCTCAGAAAATTGTTTTTTCTCTATTGAGTGCCACTGACCCATAGGGAACAAAAAAATCAATAGTCTCAATGTACAAGTACAAAACAACGTAATTGGATTTTTTAACAAAAAAATAAAATCCAATTATGTTTGCTTTTAAAATTAATAACACAGGAAAAAGAAATAAACTAATGTTCACTATGTACCTACTATGTGCCTTAATCTACTTTAGGGACCTTTGCATCTATTGTCTCATTTATGTTTCAAGCAACCCAAAAAGGCAAATGTTATTATTCCTGTTGTTACAGTCAAGGAAGCTAAGACACAGATGTCAAACTGACTTGTTCAAAGTCACATGGCTGGTAGGAGGTGAAGCCAAGTGTGTACAAACAAACCAGCCCATCAGGCTCTGCCACTCATCTTTTCATTAGGCCATCTTGTCCTCTCTGAAGAAAACCTTACTGGATGACAACTCAGCAAGCAATAGAAACTCCCTGTCCAAGTCAATGAATGAGATGCAGAAAGCAGGACAATCAGAAGGAAGAAGAGGTGGGGAGTGGGAAAGAAGGAAGGCCATCCCAAGCTAAGGGAAGGCTCCAGAAGGAGCCATGGGCTGCACCCAGCAGTAGTGAGCCAAGCCTGGGAGGCCAGCATCAGTACCAGTAGTCATGCTTTCTGATAGACCCTTAGCTGGTCAAGGTGGCAAACACAACCAATGTTTCCCTGCGTATCCTGTGTTCTGCTATAAAGGTGCAGAAGACACAGCCCTGCCCTGAATGCCCATGGCCTCGCAGGGGAGGCAGGATGAGGTGTACCTCGCTCTAATGCAGGTAAATACCAAGAATCAGTAGCAAAGCTGAGGAAGCTGCTCACGTGGGCCAGAGAAGGCTTCACAGAAGAGGTGATGTTGGAGATGGTCTTAGAGACAGAGACATTCCTTCATGGTCAGGGAAGGAAAGCAAAGGGGAAGTGTGACCAAGTCAGGGAGGAAGAAACCCACAATGTGTGTTCTTGAGAGATGGAAAAGGCCTCTATAAATTCCTGAGACAAGAAACTGTTACAATCTCACTGACATCCTGCTTTCATTAGGCTGAGATGGCATCATTTCAGGACCCTGGTTTTCCCATCATATCGTCTGCAAGGAGTCGTGGCCCTGCCCAGTTCACCTCAGTTCATTGGGCACTTAGTGATGGAATTAGACCCCGGTTTCCTCCCCTTGCCCACAGCCCTGTGCAGCCACTAATGCAGCTGTGTTTCATGGTAGGATTCCAAATTACAAAATTTTATAAAGTGTTTTTCTTATCTCTATATAACTTTTCCTAATCACAATTCAAACAAAAAGTTCCTTGGCAGAACTGAGGTAATTATGTAAGGAGTTCAGAAGGGCTGCCTTTGAACTGAGAGAATCTCGGAACCAACCTCATTAACATAATCCGAGTGTTTCTTTGAAGTCTGGAAATTGTTCTCAACCTCCACAAACCTTTACACTGTTGTCCTCAAAGCAGCTACTCCCTTCCCTTTTAATTAATGAATAACTTAGCAGGTTTTAAATAACTGTGTCTTTATGAATATAAGAACTGGAGTAAAGCAACTCAAATCCACATATTGGAATAACCTGAGGAGTCAGTAAGTCCTTTCCAACAAGCTTCAGACAGTTAATTAGAATAGATATGTATCTTTCATCTCCCCTTTTCCATATCATCCTAAAACAACAGAGCAAGGGTGCAGTGCTAGAATAATGACATGCAGTCTGAACAGTCTCCTAAGAATATTAAATCACCACAGCCCTTTCACTTGAATGATTTCAAAGCATTTATGATATATATGGGGTGTCTATTAAATGCTGGCTAATAACCAGTAATTGGCCAGAAACTCAGTCATCTACTGCTTTACTTTGACCCAAACTGTGCCACTTTTCTTTGTCTACTCCACATCCCAATCATTTGAGGGGTGATTGAAGTGACTGGAGTGGATGTTCAAATAACTTCCTGAAAGTTTAAGCCAATCTTCATTTTTATGAAGTGATTTATTCAATATAAATTAAAATTATTATTTCCTGAAGGCAGGTTTATTTTGATACTAATGAATTTAACCTCTATTCTATATGTTTTTAGTTAAATTTATTGGGGTAATATTGATTCATAACATTCTAGAAATTTTAAAAGTACAACATTATAATTCAACATCTATATATTCTATTGCATGCTCATGACCCAAAGTCTAGTTTCCTTCCATTACCACATATTTGGCTCCTTACACACCTCACCCCCCTCCCACCCCTCATCCCCTCTGGCAACCACCATTCTGTTGTCTGTGAGTTTGTTTTTGTTTTGTTAGTTTGTTATTTTTTGTTTTATATTCCATATATGAGTGAAACAATGTAGAATTTCCATATGATCCAGTAATTCCTCTTTGTGGTATATACCTGAAAAATATGAAACCACTTATTCCTAAAGATATATGTACCCCTATGTTCATTGCAGCATTATCTGCAAAAACAAAGCCATGAAAATAATCTAAGTGTTTATGAAAGAATAATGGATAATTGGACAAAAAAGATGTCATACATATATATATTCAAAAAAGATGTTGTATATATATACACACACACACACATATACACACAGTAGTACTCCATAGCAATATATATTTTATATTGCAATATATATTTAGCAATATATATTTTATATTTTGCTATATATATTTTATATTGCTATGGAGTACTACTCAGCCATAAAATTATGAAACACTGCCATTTGTAACATAATGGATGGATTTTTAAAAGTTTATTTTATTCTCATTCAAGGGCATGTCCATTGCTTTCTAGAGAGAGGGGAAGGGAGAGACAGAAACATCAATGTGAGAGAACAACATCCATCAGTTGCCTCCCATAGATGACCTGACTGGGAATCAAACCTGCAACCTAGGTAGGTATGTGCCCTGGACAGGAGTCAAACTGACAATGCTCCAGCCTACTGAGCCACACTGGCCAGGTCAACATGGATGGACCTTGAGATAATTTATGTTTTAAAGATGTTTAAAAAGGAACATAAATAACTATTTTTATTGTATGTTTTTCTAAATAACTTTCCATATACAAGATCCAAGACACTGAAAGAGCTGGCAGATTTAACTTCTAAATTTTTCTAAAACTATTTGGAGCATCTATTTGCATGCATCCATTCATTCTTGACATCTATCCTAAGAGACCAAGGATAGAAGTATGATTTCTTGCATTCATGTTGGTTACCAAACCCCTGCCACCTCCCATGGCCTCTGTCCCTTCTATCTCTGACGCTGGCCGAGGGTTACAGAAGGAGCTCTATTCCCAGACCTGCTCCCAGAAAGTCGGCACACAATGACCTACAATGTACTTAGATTCATTCTTCGGTGTGTTGAATCACAAAATTTTGGAGCTGAGGGAGTTCTCAGAAGTTACCTATTTTAAACTTGTTATGTTACAGATTAAAAACAACTAAGCCTGAGAAAAGTGAAGTGACTTTCTCCAAGCCACACAGCTAGTTAGTGGCAAAACTTGGCCGATAACCAACCACTGTCTCTGAGTACAAACCCTGAGTTTTTTACTCAGTGTTGTCTGCAGACCAGTGATATCAGCATCATACAAAAGAATGTTAGAAATGCAGAATCCTGGGCCCCACCCCAGACCCACTGAATCGTACTCTACATCATAGATCCCCAGGAAATTTGTATGCATGTTACAGTGTGAGGATCACTGGGTGAGACCAGAATGTGTCTTTCTCCAGAGAGCGCAAGAACTAGAGGCAAGCAGACGTTAGCTGGAAGCATGAGTCTAATTTTTCTAAATGTGACAAATATCCCAAACTTCTGGAAGCATCATTTGCAATCTGGAAATATTAACATTATCTACCTTACATGGTCTTTACATGTAAGGGTTTATACATATGTCATTTCATGACATGTGTATAGATATAATGCCAATTGCCTCGCACTAGCAGCTAACACAGTATAGAGTAGCTCATAGTATATCCATCCTCATGCTTACCATTAATATTGTGTTCAACCTAAAGGAAAGCCAAGAGTGACAGTGAAACTGTAAAGGAATCACCACCCTTTCTTCCTTTGTTCTACTTGTTAAATATCATTTTAAATTTTATATGTAATTCAGATTGCTAGAATATTTCATGTTTATAACTCCCTAGAAGATAATTATTATGTAGAAAGTAAATAATAATAGCTAACAATTTTTAGTGCCGTTCTCAGAGATAAAAGAACTTATCCCTAAGTCAGCCACAACCAAAAGAACACAACGTGCCTGTAGTATCTTTACTCTAGATCCTGTAAGCCTGGCCTCAACGCGCCAGCAAAGTACCTGCTGCTGCGGCTGCTGTCATTTTCTCAGATGCGCCACTGCGAGGAGGCGACCACACAGCTTTGACAACAGTAGTGCACATTTAAAAGATAATGCTCCGTCCCCAAAATGCCACATCTGTCAGCTTCAAGGAAAACATTTTGCAGAAGAAAGGGGAAAATAATTTTAGTATCCAAATCTGAACCAAAATTTTGGAAAAATATGGTATACTACAGAGTGTGAAACCATACCATACCATAGTGTCAAACCATGCCAAAATTATATTCTTGGACGAGGTGTTTTGGAGGGAATATGGCCTTCACCTCAATTAGAAAACCATGTTGCCTTGAGGCAGTGGCTCTCACCTCCGGTGATGCTTTTGCTTTAGAAACAACTGGGAAACTTTAAAAACATGGCACATTCCGGGGGGTGGGGTGGGTGTGGCATGCTTCAGTGTTTTTAAAAGATTCCTAGTTGATTTTAATGTGCAGCCAAAGTTGAGACCCACTGACCCATAGGAGCAGAAACCTGATGTTATTTAAAGGTCAGTCCACTGAGTTATTGGTTGTTATTGATACAGAGTTTCCAGAATTTAAAGCAATGCACTGAACTTCAGTGTGTACCTCTTTTAGGTCTTTTCATCATTCCTCCAGGACTTCCACCATAAGGGAAGGAGCCCCTGGACCAACATCCTCTAAGATGTTTATATGGACCAGTGGCCGGACCTCTTCATCTTACAGACACGATGAGAAAAGGTAACTGACAACCCAGACAGGATGCCGATGGAAAAGCGTTGGACAAATGAGCTGCATGTTTTGCATGTGTTAACGTAGGCTAAGCTCTATGTTGAGAGAATGGGCTTTCAGACTTTTTGGCCTTCCTCCTCTTTGTACTCTCCATGCTCACTCCCACCACACAGCTTTGCAGTGTCTGTCCCTGTGAGAACCACCCTTCACAACATGTATATGCACACCTACTCATCACTCAGCAAACTCCATCTCTGCCTTCAGGTACCCATTCAATCAGAACCTCCCTCCATCGTCTTGATTGGCACAGACTATGTTTTACTCTCCATGGAATTTCCAGCATCTACCACTATACCTGGCTCATAGTCAGGGCTCATTACTTACTGAACTGAAATGACCACTACTGCATTTCAAGACACTGGACACATGGCAGGGAAGGAAAGCAGTAACGGTGAGAGGATAAAAAGAGGAGGGACAAGTCTGTGGAACCCTCGGATTCCTTGAAACAATAGTCTGGGGTAGGGGAGAAATGAGGGAATAAGAAGAAAGACTACAGGGCACCGGCAGTGTTAATAAAAGATAAAATGACAAATACGCAGCTTAGTCCAGCCCTCCCACATGGGTAAATGCATACATAAGACTCTAACCTGTTTTAAATATTTGTTTTCTTCAGTGTCTCTCTCTTTTTCATTACCCTTTTACTATCACTTAGGTTTGGTGAAGCTAACTTTTAAACAAAACTGCCTATACCAGCATTTTGCAATTTAATCACACCTCACCTACCTACAGATCACGATAGAAATCAGGATAGATAAATTGTGCTGGAAACAAGAAGAAAGACCTGAGGCAAGCTTACTGGAATGTAATTTTGAGAGCTGGTACTTTTATTTTTCTTTTTAAAAATCTGTATTTCCATACAGATGAAAGCTTTTGAAAAAATCTGAAAACAAAATTGTTCTTCATAGTAATTATATATTACAGCAAAAATATTGAAGCAACTTTAATATTCACAATAGAAAACCTGTCAAATAAATCATAGAATGTGATAAATATATCACTTAGTATTTTTAAATGTTTTGTCATAATATTAACTAAGAACGAAGTTGAAAAATTACATACAAACAATTATTACAGCCACAAAAAAACACATGCATAAGAAAAGACATGGAAGGAAAAGCATGTTTTTCAATTCTCAATTTCCTAAGAGCTTTGTAATACATTATCTTAATTATAGAAAAAATAATGACATGATATTTTAGTAAAATCACATCCCAAAAGGCAACAAGTGTTTGAACAAAGTTCAAAAAAAACTCTCAGTGTTCATCATAATACAAGCAGATCAACTGAAAATTTACTGTCTGTTCATCTCTAGACTTTCATATGCTTCTCATTGACTAATCCAGTTATTTTTCTATTTCCTTTCAAGCCAAGTTGAATCATCTTTTGGTAAGACCTATACTATAAGACTAAAATCCCATGTGTCATCTCAAAGTTCCATATTATATATGTACTTTCTTCATTTCCTTAAAAAAAATCTACTACCAACGATGGTGCAGCAGAGCAGAGATTTCATTGCACTAGGAGTATTGTGACTGTCAGTGGCCAGCCCTTCCTTAGATTTTGAAGGTTTTGTCAGAGCAGGTGAAGTGAGATGTATTTGTTTCAGATTCCATTTATTCTCATCAAAAAATTTTGAGTACATTTTGCTCTGCATATCTCTTCTTACAAATAAAGGGATTAACATTCAAGAACAATTACTGTGTATTGCATATTTTACATGAACCATTCTCTTTCCATGTATAAGATAGGGATCATTGTACCCATTTTACAGATGGAGAACTGAGGTTCAGAGATTTCAAATAACTTCCTAAGGTCCAATAACTAACCAGTGATGGAATCAGGGTTTGAACCCAAGGTCATACTCTCTCCCCTACACCCCAAAACTTGCATAGCATCAAACATGAGATATTGGGAGAAGCAGTGAAGAGTCAAGCCCACAAGGGGAAAATGGTGTTAAGATAGAGTTGGCAATAGTGATATTAAAGGAGGTAATAAACATATGAATATGATATATTGGCAATACTTGCAAAGTTAAATGGAGCAAATAATTAGCTTCACATTTTACACTAATAAGATTTATGAAACTCTTAAATTACTATTTTCATTTTTTTTCAAAGTTTGATTTCAGTGACCATGGGATTTAAAATAATTAAAATATTGACTGTAAGTCAATCATTTTCAGCAGGCCTTATTTAGAGGATGGGGATGCCAAGGCTCATTAAATTAATCTGCATGGCATTGGCCTACAAAGTCAAAGGCAAATGGAAAAACAGCCAACAAATACAGCAATAGAAATTTCCCCCAGGCCAGTATCTTTAGTTTGATGTTTGGTTCATTTTTCTGTGTCTTTCTTGACCACATTTTCATCTTCACTGTAGGATAAGACTCAGAGTTTAAAACTGACTTTGAACAGCACCTACTATTCTGCTTAAGATGTTCTTGGTGGCAGTAATCATGGTCATAGTGAAGGTGATGATGGCTGATAATGAATCTAGATCATTAAGGTCCTCAAGTTAATTATTCTGAAACAAATGAACTAGGTTGTCTGGCAGCATTGCCCAGAACTGCTAGTAATTTTTCCACCTTCAGTTTCCTCTCATTTGGCCAACCTGACCTCTGTGTCTAGCTTCCCCAGCTGTGCTCCCATAGCAGCCGCAAAGGCCAGGCAGCCAATATCCTTGGCTCCACTCCACGTGGCCTCTTCCGTGGCAAACTTCTAAGGATATTCGCTGCCCTGGGACTCCTGAAGCAGTGGAATATCAGGAGATAGTTTAACAGGCAGGTGCAACAACCAAGTGGAAGGAAAAGTCCACCGAAAATTCTGAAACTAAGTGCTTTTAACACTCAAGGGAAGTTGAAGTCAATTTTACTTTTTGTTTATTATTTTAATTCTATGCCAGTCCTTTTCTGATCATCTGTCGTATGCAAGACACTGGTCTTTATCCTTATCTTCCATTCCACACACCCAGCAATATGAAAAAAACTTTACTTTTTTCTTTTCTAATAGGTGAGCTTACATTAATCCCTAAATTGCAGGTGCTAAAATAAAACAGCAGCATGAATAACTAATTTAGAATTAGAAGAAAAGGTTATTGGCTAAGGACACAACAGCTGAGTATTTATCAAATATTCTTCAAAGTGTTTTATTAAATACTAAACTGATATGAAGAAATACATTTCACATGTCAACATACTAAGAATGATGATAGAATAGACTTCTGAGTACCCTTCATTAAACTTTAAAACATCAGAAGTTTTGAAACCCTTGAGGATGCTTCTCTAAAAGCATTGCCCTTTCTATCCCAGCCCTCACCCAGAGACAACCACCATCTGCATTTTGTGTTTATCATTCCCTTGCTTTTCTTCACGAGTCTTTCACATTTCACAATATGTTGTTTACTTCTGAATGTTTGGAGAGTTTATATAAATGAAATCATACCATATGAATTGTTCTGCAACCCACTTTTTTCACCAAACACAATGTTCCTATTATTTATATGTGAATAGCTGTGGCTCATTTTCTCTCTTGTTGTATGCCATTATGTAAATACACTGCCATGTATTCATCCAGTTTCCTGCTACTAGACACTTGTATTATTTTCAGTTCTTTTTCTACCAATAATGCTGCTGTAATACTTTTTATTGATGTCTCCTTGTACATGTACAAACACTTCTAAGAATATATATCTAGCTTGGGAACAGTTGGTTTGAAAGTATGCAGTTTCCACTTTACCAGGTAATCCCCATTGCTTTCCAGAGCAGCTACAGATGTGGATGTGGTACTACTGCCCTACAGCCTTGCCTAGAGTTTTCAGATTTTTAATTTTCATCAATTCAGAGGGGATTGTGCCTTCAATTCCCATTTCTCACATTAGTAATAACATCGAGCCTATTTCTCTAGTTCTTTTTTTCCAAGTGCCTGTTCAAGAATGTGGCCCATTTTTCTACTGGATTGTTTGTCTTTTTCTTATTGATTTGTAAGAATTCTTTTCTTTTAAAGATTATTTTAAATCCTTACCTGAGGATATGTTTATTGATTATTTAGAAAGGGAGGAAGGGTAGGGGGGCCGAGAGAGAGAGAAACATCAATTATCAATTGCCTCTCCTAAACTCCCCAACTGGGGATTGAACCATAACCTAAGTATGTGCCCTAACCAGGATCAAGCCCACAACTGCAACCTTTTGGTGTATGGAACAATGTTCCAGCCAACTGAGTCACCCACCAGGGCTATAAAAGTTCTTTATAAAAGTTTATATTAACTCTTTGTTTATTGTATACAAGTAGCTTCTGTGAAGAATTTTCACAGAGTTCATTACATTTATTCCTGAGTTTCTTTTTTAATATTTAAATTACATTTTCTATTTTGCAGGTATATGGGAAGGCAAATGATATATAAAATTTTCATTTCATCTATGCTAAATTTTATTATTAATTCTAATAATTTATTTGTAGAGTCTTTTGTATTTTCTTCATAATTATATCATTGGTGAATAATACATTTTTGTTTCTTCTTTATCAGTAAAAATACTCTATACCATTCTTTTGTTTTTCTTGCTTTATAATACTAGCTGTAAATTGTGTATGAAACAGGTGACTTCTGGCCAAGATGGGGGCATAGGTAGATACACTTTGCCTCCTTGTACAATCAAAAGAAGAACAACAACAAATTAACAAAAAAATACCCAGAACTTCCAGAAATTTGAACTGTATGGAATTCTGACAACCAAGCAGTTAAAGAAGAAACATTTGTCCAGACTGGTAAGAGGGGTGGAGACAAGCAGCCAGGGTAGAGAGGATTCACAGCAAGGTGGTGGCTGGTGGACCAGGTGGTCCCACATTTGCATGCAGACAACCTGGGAGGAACAACTGGGGAGAGAGATAGACCACACAAACCAGGGTTCCAGCACAGGGAAATAAAGCCTCAGAACCTCTGACTGTAAAAATCTGT